AAATTAGGGGGAAAAGGGGTGTTTGGGTCATTTTTGGGGGTCTTTTTTTTTTTTTTTTTGGTTTTTTTTGGGGGGGGGGGGGGCGGGCTTGGGGTGTATTTAAAGAAAAAATTTCCGGGTTTTGGGTTCTTTTGGATGGAAAATTTTTTAGTTTTTTCCGTGTTTTGGCCAGTCATTCGGGGGGGGGGGGGGGGGGGGGCGTCTTGTGTTGTCTGTTGGTGGTAGTGTTGTCCTTGGTTTGACTATTTTATCATGTTTTGCACTGCACGGCAGCAGTAGTAACGGAGAGGTTTGGTGTGTTCGGAGAGAACGTTGTGGAAGAACATGTATTGTATTCAAGTTTTATTTGTACTGTATTCTCCTAGAAAACAATGAAAAAACAATATGCAGATAATCTGCTCGCGTTCTTCGAGCACAAGAACTGCTGCTGTGTTTCCGTTGCCCAGGCAGGAAGCGTGACTGCACACACACACACCTAGGTTCCGCCAAAGCAAGGCTCCACCATGTGTATGACATGCCAAATACATTGGCAACACGGGGCGCCCAACTCGAAAACCGACGTGGTGATCGTCGGATGTCTCGTCGTCGTCATCGTCAGCAGTTCTGTTTGTACCATTCGCACCCCGGCATTCATGTATCAATTGTCATCGCCTGCCTCCGAAGAGAGTATGTTGCTGGAGCGTGAATAACTACCCGGTCTTCTCTCTGCCTTCCCTTCTACAACAACAGAGTCTTCTCTCTCTCTCTCACTTTCTGGAAGAAGCACGTAGCCTCCCCCCCGGCACGGTGCTACACACACAACAGTGCCAGCGCACAACACAAAGCGGGTCGTGATTTCCGCGCGAGAGACGGTCCCCCAGCCGTCTTTCCTCATGACACCAAGCACGCGCAGTCACGCTTGCCTCGCATCTACGTACGCCTTCAGTTTCATGTCTCCCCACCACGCGGGGGGCGAAACGTCTCCAGCCCTACATTGCGCGAACGGGCGTGGTCTTCGTTGTCGGCGCCTCCATACGGTACCGTAAGGATGCGGGTCTCCGCACAGGGGTGTTAGCGTTTTTCAAAGCTTCGCTACTCGACAACTAGGAAGGCAACACTGCCGAAAAGGGCGGTTTTGGAATTATCTCATCGTGGTCTTTCCTTAGACGTGTTGTTTGGCCTTCGCACCCTCCTAGTTGCGGAGTAAGAAAGCTTTGAAAAACGTTATCACCCCTGCGCGGAGACCCGCATCCTTTTCGGTACTACATTATCACTTTTTACACACCAAATCGAGGGAACTGCACGAGCCTCACAGACAAAATACCCCCGCCGAAAAGCATACCGCGTCGCCCCCGCCGCCGCCCTATTCAGTTCGACACCGCATTGAGCCAGTCATTAGGTGTAACCGTTCAAACGGCAACTCGGAAGGAAGCAGCGGCAGCGCCAGACCTGTGTGTACCATCGAGTCAAAGCCAGCCAGTCACCACGAACTGCCGGCCGTGCGCGCGTATTCTTAGTATGTGCATCGACCGCGCCACAAAACCGACTGACAAAAAACAAAGTCAGTCAGTCTCATATCGGCTGGAGCTTCTAAAGGCCATGACCTGGGACCCCCGCGAGGGGGGGGTCACGTGTGTGTGTGTGGCCCGGTTGATGCCGAGATGACGGCCGGCCTACTGGTCGCCCTCAAAGCCCATGCCGTTCTTCCGCAAGAACGTGGCGAGCTCCCTCTCCAGCGACGAGGCGAGGTCGTAGTCCTTCGCTTGCACCTTGCTCGGCAGCGAGCGGTGGCCAGCGAGCCAAGGAGGGGGGCGGGTGGAGGGGGGGGGGGGGGTGTACTTATGTTTCGCATGCCATATTTATTTCTTCGAGGTAGTTGGTAGACCAGGCGGCCAGCCAGCAAAGAGGATCGGGGGGGGGGTGCTCATGTTTCGCATGCCTTGTTATACCATTGACCATGCGTCCTCGAGAGGATGGAGATGGGGTACTCATGTTTTGCATGCCTTAGTTGCTGGACCATTGACCACACGCCCTCGAGAGGACCGGATGTTTTCGCTTAGTGCGTTGAACAGTCAGTCACTTAACTGCCTTGAAAGGGAAAGGGCTGGATTGGGAAAATGAAGGGCAAGGCCAAAGAAAACAATCCTGCTTCTTGATGCCAAAGACGAACGGCGACACACCGCTGAGGGAAGCGGAGGGTCCCACAAGTTTCGTTTGGCGCCTCTGCGCCTCGGAAACCCTAACCCTATCCCTAACCCCAACCCTAACCCCAACCCTAACCCTATCCCTAACCCCAACCCTAACCCTATCCCTAACTCCAAGCATCTACCGGCTGGTCCTTCCAACTTCGTTAGATTTCTCTTCAGAGAGCAAACGTCCTTTTCCTTTTCCGCGAACAGCATAGGGCATTTGTTTTAATTCTTCCGCAGGGTTTCGTTCCTTGGAAATTTCTGAAGTCCGTGTTTCTGCGGCGTGCCAGTGGCACGCGCGTATATATCGCGAGAGAGAGCGCTTCACAGCAGTTTCTGCACCGCTTGGATGCAATCACTCACTCACCGCCATGAGAAGTTTTTGCCGCAAGGCCTCCGCAGTGGCGACCGTGTCTGCGTCTGGTGCCCCCTTGTTGGCCATCTACCATACGAGGTCGCCGTGATCATTGTGGCCGCAGTTTTTTTTTATGGTGTTTCCGTGTTTGTCGTTTTTTTCGTTTGTTGACGCCATTCGCGGAGTGCGAGCGAAGACACGACACGCAGAGAAACAGAGAGACAGAGAGACACACACAGACACAGACAGGCAGAAAGACAGGCGCGCAGACGTTAACGCAAGCGATGTCTACAGACAAAAAAGAGGGGCGAATCGTCCAGGGCACGGCTCCCAAGATCGGCAAAACTTCTCGCAGCTACGGATGACCGACACAGAACAGTCCAAGAACAACTTCGGGATAAGAGCACCCCGTAGGTTGGTCGTTCGGCTGAGAACGCCTTTCTTGCCGCGAAAACAATCGATATCATGGAAGGAATTCGCAATAATATGCTGCCGCCGTACACATCCATATCCCGGGTGCGTCCCCAATACCGGAATACAAAGCCAAGAGCCAGAATCACTCAAATCGTTGCACACGCACAACCAATAGAAAATGCGGGGAATTTTCTTTTTCTTCTCATAGCCCTGGTCGTTTGTTCTCACCGCATCGAAGGTCACGTCCTGTTCGAGGTCTACGTAGTCATCCGGCGCTGGCGGCTGGTTGTACACGTCCACGAAATCCAAGTCCGGCAAACGGATCTTGTTGAGAATGTCCGGCGTTTTCGGGGTGAACTTGGCCATCGTGTCCTGGCGAAACGGAACGGGGACGAAGAACGCATGCATGTATGTACGTTTGTGTGCATGCATGTAGTGTGTATGTATGTCCATACAAGGGCGCTTCACGGCGTAGGCTTTATGACGATGTCAACTGTGTGCGGGTCGAGTTTTGAGATGAGAAGAAAGATGTATATGTGAAAAGCTGTTCAGCTCATACATTTATTCGAACAGCAAGGTGATGAATTAATGAATTAAAGCGACAGATTTAATATAAGCCCAGTTTCCAGTCGGTTTCCCTCCACTTACTGAAAATACTTCATTACCTTCGACTGTGGGTATATCTCGAATAGGTCTTTGTGTTTGTTTCCTGCATGTTTGATTCCTGTGTGTGTTTCCTGTAATGTTTTCTAAAGCGACGGCCGGAGGACAGAAAGGAAGACATGCGTATGTGGCAAGGAGCAACACCGCAGCAAGAACAATGTCGTCTATCGGTAGTTGTATGCTCACAGAGAACATGCACCGAAACGGACGGACGTGTATGTGTCGTAGTCAATAGATACGTGTGGAGGAGAAACAAAAAACTCTGTGCGTCATCTCTCCTTGCATCATCCCACCCAGCAACTACCGCACACATCATGTATGTGCACTTACTTCGAAGTAGAAATTTATGTGCCGTATCACGACGGCAAACACCCACAGTACTCATCCCACAGCAGTAGTACTGCTACATGCTCTGCAGAGAATAAAAAAGAGGACCCCCGATGGGGAGGCGGAGGAGGACATTTACCCCGATGGAAGCAACGCTTCCTAAGCTACTGATGTACACACCTGATGTACACATTTTTTTGCACCGTTCTGAACCTACGGTATAGCCCAATCCCTCACCCAACCCGGCGACCAACCCGACCCAAAGCTATGCATTGGTAGGCGTTAGGTCAGGTAAGGGATTTCGCGTTTCGGAGTGAACATCGTCATCGTGTCCTGCTGAGAGGAGGAACACGGTACCCGGTTGTATGCTGGATATTGCACAGGCGCGCGTTCGACGAAGAGTCACAGAAGCTGCCGACTTGGTGTTCCATAGGCGTTTGTGGGGGCGCAGGGACAGGGGCTCGGGGAGGATCAGAGGAGTCCAACACGAGGAGTGAAAGGGAGAGGGAGAGGGAGAGGGAGAGAGACAGAGGCAGATAGATAGACAGACAGACAGACAGGCAGAACCAGGCAGGGATAGATAGAGAGGGAGAGAGAGAGGAGTCCATGTTCTGCATGTCTGGTTGTACATACTCCGCCATCGTGTCGTCGGATATGCATCGGTAGGCGCTAGGTTTGAGTTGGACAGTATTAGCGATGTGCTACAAATCATGGCCAAGGGTCCAGCGATCAGGTCAAGCGGGGAGCATGTTGGAGGGAGGCACGGCCCCAGAGTGAAACAATGAAATATAAGAGGGGGGACTGGAATCACTGAGTGCGTTGTGTCTGTTGTTGATTAAGTTTGAACTTTGAAGATTTGCCAATATGTTTCAAATATTTACGCTTCATAAAAAAAACAGCAACCCAGGTTCCCACAAAGCCCTTGACGAGCTACTAGCATATTTATATTTGGACGACAAAAGCCAACTTCAGAAAGAGGTTCGCAACGTGGAGATAAGCTTGGAATAGACTCAGCACGGCCCGATATCAACGAAGACTAGAAGGTACCAGCCGCCAGAGGACCAAAAAAAAAAAAACAGTCGAACACCCAATGCACCTGGTAGAATGGGTTGCTGCCCTTCTCCTGGGTAAGGAACGCCCCCAAGCCGTTCTTCCCAGTGACGGTCGAGGCTACCAAGACCCTGCCGGGGTGAGGTGGAGTGAGCGGTCATGTCAGCGAGTGGGCACACGCGCACGACTGAATAGTAACTCTTGCTAGCCGATGTACTGCTGAAAGAAGAAGAGCCGACAATTCAAGCTCAGAGCTGATTTCCTCATCGTGAGGGAAACAAAAGTCGAGGACCTACTGCAGTGTGGCACTTGCAATGCGAACCGCTCCCTTGGGAATGTCTCATAACAGCAGCAGCAGCAAGCAGTAGTGTGGACGGTACACGCTACGAGATAAAAAAAAAACAGTACACCATGGTGCAAAGCTTAGGTGTCAGTTTGGTTCCTGCCGCCTTTGGAAGCATCAACAGCAGGCAAGCAAACAAAATCGACCGGAAGAGAAGCCCGCCTCACCCGGCTCCCAACGCGATCACGAGAGCGGCGATTCCGAACAGCCCCGACGCGGTGGAAGGGTTGCCCGGTGCCGCCGAAGCCAACAGGAGAGAAGACACCAACGAACCCACTCCCTCCCCACCGTCAGCAGCAGCAGCAGCAGGGCCAACAACGTCCGCGTGTACGCCGCCGACGTCCGCGAGGCCCACTCGTTGTAGCAGTAGAGAAGACGCGTCGGGTATCGCTGTGGCGATCTCTCCCCCGCTGGCACCGCCTGGAAGGAGGTCGACGGCGGTGATGCCTGTTGCTCGTGTCGGGAAGAGGCAGCGGGGGTGGCAGCGGTGGGGGGGTTGCCGGTTGAGGTGGGGGACGCTGAACACACGAACTCATAGTGTGCAACTTACATTTCGAGCGCCAACAACGCGTTGCGTTTACCGGCTGCCTATTGGCGCAGGTGTTGTATTAGTAATGCGGAGGGTGTTGGCTCTCTGGAGGACAACTGCTACTCGTATGCTTGCAAGTGGGTGGGAGGGGCGCTGCTGATTGGCCCGCCCGCCGGGCAGTGTGCAAGTGTTCAAGTTGGCAGCGCTCCAGACCAACAGACTACAGAGCCTACATAGTATCACACCTTTCTGGAGCTAGGAATGGCACTGCTCGACTATTGCACACACGAGAGCGAGGCGGGAGGCTTCCGCGGCGGTACTGCTGTAGGGCGAGCCACCTCGGGCCTGACGGTATCATGCACACACACACTGGTCTGCGCGTTTCTATTTTACTGCTGTAGTAGCCCTAGTAGGCCTTATCCCGCAGAGCACGCACCTCTAGCTCGTGTTGTCGAGGGGAACGATGCGCGAGGCGCGGGGGATACAAAGCCCGCGGCATACGACACCACCAGTGCTAGGCAAGCTGCGAAGAGTCTTGGCACCATGTTTAAAGCTTGTCACGTGCAGCAGCGGCGCGTGCTCTCACCTCTCGCCTCTTTTCCAGCTGGTACGCCGGTAAAAAAGGTTCGCGAGGCGTTATTGTGGAGAACCGAACCTGCGCCTACAAAAAAGGTTAACAATGCAACCTGCCCAGAACCTGCCGCAAGCAGCAGGTTGCACGAGGTGCCGCGGACATTGACACACTTCCAGGTTGCGCATGTTCAGGTGAGAGAGCTCTAAAGAGGTTCCGTCGTGTCACAGCCTGTTTGCTCGGGTGGTTGCAGCATGTTCTGCATCTGGCCTATCCATCTCCTACATATGTGCACCATGCGCATTTTGCGCTGTACTCGGCACACCCATTTCCCCCGCCATTTTTGCATCTTTCCCAAAGCATCTTCACTAACTCATGTCCTTCTCTGTTGCAATGGATTGGTGGCGGCCTCCACCCCCGTCTAAGAACCATTGCCACAGCTAGCTTCATCCGGGTAGCATCGTCGAGGAGCTTTTCTGGTGTGGGGAGTGACCTTGCGTTCGCGGTGGTCAAGAGGGCACCACCGCCGTCCTCCGCGTGGATTGGTCGTGCCTCTTACACCAGGTGAGAGCCAAGCAAGGCCTTCTCGGAGAGAGAGAGGGGGGGGGAGGGTATGTTTGTTACGACTCTGTTCCATTGATTGGTTGCGCACGGATAGTTTGGACTGTTCGCTTTTTGGTATCCGCTGCCATCGCGGCTCTACTTTCTGGAGTGGAGCTGCCTGACACCGCACATGACGTAAGATATCAGACCCCCTTGATCGGTTTTCAACGCTCGATTGCTCGGCACCAGAAAGAGTGATGGCGGAGTTGAACCCGTCTCACCGGGGACTTTTCGAATGCGCATCACAGAATATGACACCGTCTTCTTCGTCGTGATGTAGCCGGACTTTCAAAATCAGCCCAGGGGGTGTGAGATGTTGTGTCACCGACGGTAAGACTACGGTCTTGGTAGACTGCATCTGCGCAGCACTGACGAGGCCTTCATCGAGCGCACCACATGTACTTGTGGGCATGTAGGATATGTTTTGGAAGAAGTGTGTGTAAAAATAGACTGGTTGTACAACGTAGACTTGTTCCGGTGTGGTACTTCTCGAAAGGGGTGGACGCTTGACTCGCTGTATGCATACATAATCGGTTACTTCATTGTGCTGTACCACACTCCACAGCGGTAACGGCCGCCGTCTTTCGGAACATTGTCTGATTTCCCTCGGACTATCCTGCCATGTAAATCTTCGCCATTGAGCACCTACTCTCTCAATCTATTGCCGTTTGCATACCCAGACCCGGTGCTAAAGGGCCTTGTAATTGTAAACCTCTACACGCTTGATGCACCTTGCTCCCCCCACGGCTCTAGCAGCAGCAGCTGCAGCATCACCCCTCGGTCTCGCATAGCCACCGTTATTCGCCACATGTCGTCCAACCCGGGAGGAGGGGAGGAAGAGAAGGCCAAGGCTGTCGCAGCAGCCGCCGGTGGCGGTGGGGGCGAGGCGACGATCTTCGACAAGATCATCTCGAAAGAAATACCGGCGGATATCATCCACGAGGATGAGCTCTGCCTGGCGTTCAACGACATCAGCCCACAGGTGAAGAACGCAAACCTGGCGACAGGCATGAGCTCGTTTCTTGTCCAGTGTGACGTCGATTCTTATCTCGTCGGGACAGCGGCAGTGGAAGCGATACGCGCCTACCTAGGGTAATTGGTACGACACAAGAGAACACGCCCCGGATTTATGTAACAGTTTGATATCTAAAACACCGTCACCTGAGAGTAGTTTTCATGTTTTGGCTAATGTCGTTGTGTGAAAGGGTGTGTTATCTTGTGTCGTACGCGGTGGGCGCTTGCACGTCTGGGCAGTGCTACTCGTACATCGAGCACCCCTGCGTGCTTCGCCCGCCGGTTTGACAGTCTCGCGTGCACCCCGTGCTTTTTTTTTTGTGGTCGACGTGCAAGACGCCTCCCGACGCTGCTGTTTTGACAATTCGTCTGTTCCGCCTGTCGCTACCCTACCTGCACACAGGCGCCGGTGCACTTTTTGGTGATCCCGAAGAGCCGCGACGGCCTGACGCAGCTCAGCAAGGCCGTCGATAGCAACAAGGCGTTGCTCGGCCACCTCATGTTCGTCGCTCAGAAGGTCGCCAAGGAGCAGGTGACGAGCCAGTAGTACACAGCAGCAGCACGGGGCTTAAGACGTACTTCGTTTTTGCTCGCCGGTGGTGTTGGTCAGGATGGACATATGGTTGGCCCAGACTCAGTTGTTTTGCTGCAGCTTGTAAGCGTAATGGTAGCTCGCGCCAGAGGGTGTTACATACAAACGATCCTCAGGGTTCTCACGCAAAGCTTTCAACACGTTTTCCCTTACCTTCAGAATATGTAACGGGTTTGCCATTTTTAGCCGTTTCCCGTTGGAAAACCACCGTACCGTATCTGGTCACCTTTCCGTTTCGTTACCTTTGTCAAAGCAGTTACAGTAGAGGTCCCTGTTTAAGGCCAGTTGCGCTGTTTAAGCCCGGTGAATCGCTTGGCACAGGTGGAATAAGTATTCAAGTTGCCATCTACCTCCGAATCGTACCGGGTGCCCGATGAAAGGCCGGTGTTTTAACCTTGGGCCATGGCGGTTTTAAACAGGGGCCTCTACTGTACCGTGTATCCTGCAAGTGTGACCCACTCGACAGCCGATCGACTTACCCCACCAAACCACTCATGTGCCCTTTTTTTTTTCTGGAAAATTGCGCATCAACCAGGGTCTCGACGAAGGCTTTCGAGTGGTGGTCAACGATGGGGTGCAGGGCTGTCAAACGGTCTACCATCTCCACATCCACGTCATCGTGAGTGCAGGCCGCGGCACAAGGATGACGGTTTCGCATGTTGTCCATCCCCAAGAATATAAAAAAAAGTAGACACCACAGCCGAGCGTGACGAGCTCCGTTTTCTCCAAATACTGCATAGACTTGATTTTTTTTAGGGGGGGGGGTTGCTCGCGAAAAGGGGGCGTTTTTGTTTCAGGTCGTAGGTTGGGCTATTGCTCTATAGGTTTTAGCTGAGGGGATCGTGCACACACAGCTGAAATATGTGTGTTGTTTTAACACGGCGTTCTCTTGGCCGAACCCCAGCTGATGCGTTCGATTAATTTTTGTCGAAGCCGATGATGTGCGCTAATTTCTCTGGAGATACCCAGACACGTAGCCTTTATTCCGCCGTCCTTCCGATACACGGGGGCTGCTGCTACTGCTACTGACCCTAGGCCGATACTGTCGCTGACTTTTGGTCACCCTTTCATCTTTCGGGTCTCGCTCGGTCCTGCTTTTTTCGCTTGTGCAGGGGGGACGGCAGCTGAAGTGGCCGCCAGGCTGAGCTGCCCGATTTCTCGACTTGCTTCGCGGTGGGGAATCAAAATCGCCGTGTGACAAGCTTACAAAGGGGCGCCGAGCGGGCCGCCGCTCTCTGCAGTGGAGATGAACTCTCTTCACCTAATAGACCACTCTCTTGTTTGCGAGATCGCCTGACGTTGCCGCGGGCTGTAGTCGTGCGGTCTGAAGAAAGTCTGTTTGATATTTTTCGCTGGGCGCAGGTATGGGCGCGGATTCTTGCAGAGCGGCAGCGTCCGTGGGTGCAACACAAGCAATGGGACGCAGAACGATAGATTTTGCGGCGCACGTCGCGTACGTTTACCTTGGCGAAATGTCTGTTTGTTTGTGTAGTGTCTTTTAAGACGAGACGGGTGCTCTGAAACTGCTGTTGTTGTTGGGATCAAAGCTGACGAACGAACAATGCCCGTGCGATATGCCCGCCGCTCCCTCAAGCTGTTTCCGCTATAATTTAGGATGCTGGGCGCCGATGTAGAACTCCGTTTTTCTTGCCGACGCCGACGTCGTGGTTCTCACACTTTTGTACGAGAAAGCTACCCCTCGGGGGCCATGCTTTCGTCGTTGACCTGAGGCGTCGGTTGCCCGGAAAACGCCTGCTGCTGTTGTGGAGGCACCGCTGTGGCTTCTCGGTGGAATCATCGATCTCTTGGCAGAGAGACCACATCTGGAGAGAGTGTCTTCAGCAGGGAGACCACATTTGGAGAGAGCGATGGGCCACAGTTGTCATCGTTCATGATAGCGTCTGATCAGTGGCATTACGCGTGACTCTTTGTGTCGGGGGGTCACTCACTTTTTACCCGATTCAGAACTCCGCGTTCTACACGCTGATATCTTTGATTAATACGCATTCCGGGCTGCCACGCACAACGCATTCTCACCGGCAAATGTATCGCTTCTGCCGACGGTAGAATCTAAGCAAATCTATCACGTGTGTACAAAGGGGTCAAGGGGGAAGAAAGGCAGGAGCTCACAGCAGCAGTCGCCAGGGATCCAGAGGTCTACGATCTACGGAGAGGATCTATGGACATAGCGGAGAGATTTGACGCACCACGAACCTTCTGGAAACCCCGATTCCGCCGCAACTCAGCAACTCAGCTGGTGCTGCACATAGCTCGAGCTTTGCAACCACAAGCCACACCACCATCATGGCATCTCTACCTGTGCGTCGGAGGGTCAATGCAGGGCCACCTACGGGAGCTCCCCCCAGGACCAACGAACATGAAATCAGGCGAGGAACCCGAAGGTTTTCACACAGCATCTCTCTCCCTTGCGCACACACATACACCGTCCTCGCTGTGGATCTATGAATAGTTTCCGGCGTTGCCGCAATGCCGCTGTATACACTATGCCTCTTGCTGGGTGTAGCAGGTGATGTGTGTCCGCCATAGTTTCTGCATGGTTGTATGTTCACAGTGTTTGTGGTGAATGGCGGGCGTCTTCTGCTCTCCTGACCTGATCATAGAGTTGACAATCCCCAATACAAATCACCTGTGAGGTTTCAGATGGAGCTATCCTCTCTCAATGCGTGTACTGCTGTACATAGTCTACAGTCAGTCACCAACGGGATCCGTGCGGGGCGGTAATCTACTTACGTATATCAGGGGTGTTTCGGAGCTCACTTGTTGGACTGCTATGCACACCGCCTTTGCTCAAGGGGTGAAAATCACTGGAGCATATCCTGGATAGTCTCAGCACGCATTCGGGGTGTAGCGCGCAATGCTGTCTTTCAACTGCGGCAACTCCTTAGCAGCACTGCTGTGAAATTTCAAAGTACCACGCTGTACAGACTAGACGTGAAACTAGGGTACGCATATATATATGTATCCGTCAGCAATGGCGTACTGAGTGTGTTTCTTCTTGTACTTGCTGGTGGTGGTGGTGGTGCTGCTGCTTCGCACAATTACCAACTCTGTCCTCGAGGCGTACGGCACGGCAACATGAGTACGGACGACTTCCAGTCTCCGTAGTCACCACTGCTGTCCGTAGCCTGTGGGGTGAGCAAATGCAACTACTGTACGTCCACAATCAAAGATGCGGATGACCGTGCGTGCCTTTCTTTCGTGTGCTGTATATGGCAGCTTGTGGCACGCCCGCTTTTGAGTCCGTTTGCGAAAGAAAAACGCAACGATTGATCGACTATTTAGTGCTGTACAATGCCGAAGCAGCGCGCCGCACACCATCGGTCGTGTCCACCCAACACACGAACGCGCACCGTTTACCCTGTTGCCCCAACCGCCCAACGGGGGGTCTGGTGCCGCTGTTGCTATTGCAGCCGCTGCTTGTGGTGGGCCGTCCTACGTCACTGAAATTCAGATGGGCTAACAGCCCACCAGACTACCCTAGGTTGCATAAGATACCACACCCCCTGGACCGATTTTCAAAGCTCGATTACTCCGCGACCAAAGAGGATGCCGAAGGAAAACGATACGTGTTCGGAAAACTCTCGACGGGACGGTTCCAACGCCGCCAGATTCGGCACCGCCGCTGTTTTCTGCTGTGGAGTACTCGAGCTTTGGAAATCGGTCCAGCGGGTGTAATATCTTATGCAACCTACGGTACCCAGTCAACGCAAACGGGAAGCCTTGTGGGATACAGCGGTCGCCCATCTCACCAACGAAATGTACAACTCGACGTTCGACGCACTGAACCCGTCCCCCTGTCAGCCATGGTCTCGAGCTAACTCCCCCGCTTGCCAGGCAGGGGGTCTGTATTCATTCCACAGTTTTTTCGAACTATGCATACGGTATCTCTCGCGCGCATCTTGGGTATTGATTCACACGGCACACACGATGTGTTTTTGTTTGCGTATGTGTTTTATGGTTAGCAACGACCACGCCAACCGACTGACCAATGCAAAGACGTCCGTCTCAGCGCGGTTGAAAACAGACAAGGCTCCTAAAGGCCTGATCGGAACGTGTGTGTGCGAACCTACTTTAATAGTGCACCCTCTTGATGGGCGCTGATAAGAAGCCTCTAGATTCGAGCACGGCATTTTTCGCACTGCATTTTTCGCAGACACCAACAACCCACAGGGATGGTTTCCAAGAAAACCCTGTGGCCTAATCAAACCGCTCCCCTCTTGTCCCCCGGAAAAAACAGTCGCAGACAGCACCCCTCCGACACCGCCGTGGCATCATCATCACCTCAGAACCCCCACGAAAGAAATGGCAGCAGCAGGGTGCCAGCGACCACCTCAGCCACGCCCCGAGGGGTCCCAGCGCCGGGAGGAGGAGCACCACCACCAGCCATCGGGGACGGATCGTCGTCGCCGAAGTTCTTGCACAACCTGAGGGTGTGGGCCCTCGGCGGGCCCTGCGTCGGAGTGCTGCTGCTCCTGGGCGGGCGGCCGACGTCGCTCGGGGTGGCGTTCGGCGTCATGGCCTGCTACTGTTTCGACCTTGCGGACAACGCGGTAAAGACCGTTCGTTTTATGCACAGCTGCTGCTGCCGGTACATACTTTCCTTACAAAATTGATTTCCAAATTCCGACTTTTCAGGTGTCCAAATTGAACGATATTTAATTTGGAACCGACTCGTTCCACGTTTTTCGGTGCCAGTTGTTTCCAAATTTCCAACTGTCCAACAAAAATCCCTTCGGACACAAATCGAACTACGGATGTAAAGATTTGGAAACTTGGAAATAGCTGCTGTATATACCGGCCCTAAACAGCACGGAGGACCAGCAGTGGTTTCCTTTAGAAAACACCGGGCAGCGAAGAACGCCAGCTAGAAGGGGCTCGTCGACACTGCTATTAAGGCGCATGTGAAACAGGATTTCCATGCTTCTCGGGGCAACGACCGTTGTCGCTGACTTTGTGCGTGTTTGAGGGTGCCCAAGACGCACACACACACAAAACGAAGTGTCTTCCGCTCGCCGTGTCTCGCGCCCTGGCGTCGTTCACGGCAAAACACCGCCGTCTATCGTACATAGATGCCGTGAAACTGCACAGCATCTTACCGAAAGAGGCAAACCAGGCGGAGGGTTGCCGACTCGTTGGCGAGCAAGAATGGCGTCCGTCGAATTCTTCCAAAGAAACCGTTGAACGGTCTGTACTTGTTTTGTAGGGTCGGGGATCGGGGGTTCTTCACCGTGCCAAGAGCACGGCGTAAGGTCTTTTCGATATCTGGTAGCAGCCTGCTGTTCTTTCAAATACAATAGATAATGCAGCATCACCGCCCCAAAATTAATAAAATCCTTTTCCGCGCGACGGTGGCGACGGCGGGGACTTCCGTCCAGGAGGGGGCGTTGGTATCCGTGTGGGGGGCCGTCCTCTGGAGCGCGGGGACCCTGTTGTGGGCCGGCTCTACGCTGGGGCTGGTCCACAAGGCCAACGTCTTGGCGTGCACCTTGCTCGTGGGCGTGTGGGCCACGCTTCAGTTCGGGACCATCTACCGCGACGGCCCCGACGCCGCAAGACTCCTGGAAAGGTGGGCATAGTCGCTAGGCGGGCATGCGTTCTTATTGGGGATATGTAACAGTTTTACTTCGTTGTACGGGGCCCCCGGGTGATCTACCGAGACGACACCGAGGTCGCACGACTCCGGTAAAGGTGGGCACAATCGCTACGTGAGCAGATGTTTTACCGAAATATACGTACGTACGCATTACGTGGGAAGTACTTGCTCCGTTTTACGGGGGCCACGGATGATCGACCGGGACGACCCCGAGATCCGCACGACTCCTGGAAAGGTGGGCATAGTCGCTCGGTGTTGCTTGCTCACACACGAGAGAGCGTGCACGAGGGTGGGGGTCTGCTACCGGCGGCGCCAGTAACCACAACGCCGCCGACGCCGACGATACTAACACACGGAGCCACGCCCCCCCCCCCCAACCCTATTGGCCGGCCTATACCCGGAAAAAAAAAAACCCGGGGGGGTGCGGGAATCCACCCAATATCCCCGGGGTTGACTTGTCTTTGTACGGGATATCCGGGCCCTGCCCGGGGACGGAACCCTTTTGAAAAGTTGTGAACGTTGGGGTCCAACGCCCCC